TAACGACGACATTAACCAGCGAGGAGCGGAACAGTTGTGTCGCTGCTGCCATAGCGCGAGCTTTTCTGGCAGCTTGGCGGTAGTTAGCAGAGCAGCAGGGAGCACAGAAGCGGTGTTGCAAAGCGCACGAGCGAGCTCCAAGACAATGAACTAGGAGCATAGCAATTAGCTCGGAGGATAGAAAATGAAAACCGCACAAGCGGGTACAAGGACATGAATGAACTCGTAGCATTGCGCTAGTATTGCTGGTGACTTAGCAACAAGCGGCAATATAGCGGTAGCTACTAGCCTCGCAAAAAGACTCAGAATGGCATGACTATATGTTAGCATAAAGGAAGCTGACGTTTGTTTTGTTTCTTTCTTCTGTGTGTGTCAGCTCAACGTGACTATGCAAGCAGCTTGAAGCGAGCACATTTTGCCCCTCGTTTGGAAAGCTGATCATGATCTGTCCTACCGAAGGAAAAAAATGATGCAACTCAAAAGACTGAATGTTTGATAACAAGGTCGCGAGCAACATGCACGTACTGTGCATTGTGATGATGATGATGCTGAAATCATATATTGAGGAGTGCCAACTAGCATTTCCGGCAGTATAGCAGCAGCTAGTAAGTTCAAGGGTGATTAGACAGTTCAAAATCATGCGTTTAAAATAAAAATAAAAAAAGAATAAAAGTGGCGTGTGCAATAAATGGTCTGAAGGAGGTCCGGAATCCATATTTACAAAACAGGAAAGGAAGAGGAGGGGCGCGCGGATGGGGGGTTGGGGCGCTTCATCTCCCTCAAGTCACATGTCATTAGAGTTTACCATGAAGGGACAGACGCAAAGAAGAATTAATGCAGCGATGCTAATGTCGTTAGCATTGTCAGCACGTGGATGCCCCAGTCACATTTATCATGATGCTAATACGGTAACGCGGTCACCATGGCAGCCAGCATGCAATGAAGCGTTGACGCCATTTCATGCAATGTAGGATATTATGGATTGGGGGGGTGGGGGAGCGGCGTGTCTAGGCGGTGGTCCATTTTCAGTGCTACATAAATGTGTGTGTGTGTG